CCTTAAGGGATCCCCTGTCAACGGATAGGATCTAGGCGCCATCTACGGTGACATCCGAGGCGAATTCACCGAGCAAACCACGGAGATATAACCAACTACCGGGTCTTGGCAGCCTCTTGACTTGCTTATCTTGATTCTGAATGCCGTCCATGCAGCTACCCTTGACCTTCACCGTGGGTTGTGCAAGCTTCCAATGTTCTACAGACCTTCTGTTTTCAGCAGATGGTCCGGGCCGAAGAGTCATCTAGAGCAATGTTACATGTTGATCAGAAGGATTCTTATTGCGCCATACATGGTTTGTGATACCAAAGAAAACATATAAAGGTCGGTATCAGCTGCATTGCTGGTGGTTATCCAGAAACATCGGAAACAAGTTGCCTTGATTTGATTTTCTGTTATACAATCATGCGCGCTCAATACTCGAGCCTTTTGGCTCTTCTGTTGACCACTCTTACGGCGGCTTTACCATCTCCAAGGATAGGGAGCTCCCAGCTTCAAGACAAAAGGTCTTATGAAATTCGCGATGGGGTCAATCATACCATATTTGAGCATGCTGCAACAGGTGCTACCCTGGCATTTGTCACTAATTCCGGAATCTGTGAAACTACCCCAGGAGTAAATCAATATTCTGGGTACTTGTCTGTCGGCTCGGTAAGTCGAAAAGACTAGATGGCAACGTTTAAGTTATACTGATTCTATAATAGAACATGAATATGGTAGATAAATCTCAATATGTCAACAAGCCATGCTTGAAAGCTTACAGCTGACCATAACGAAACTAGTGGTTCTGGTTCTTTGAAGCACGTACAAATGCCTCCGGAGCTCCACTTGCAACCTGGTTTAACGGAGGTAAGATACTCTTCCCATCTCAACATAGTAAGACCTAAAGTAATTGCAGGGCCCGGGTGTTCTTCAATGATTGGACTCTTCCAGGTATTCCCATTCCAAAGCAACATCAGTTGACAGATTACTAACATGTTCCAGGAAAACGGTCCCTGCCATTTCGTGAACGGGGCATCTACGCCCTCTCTTAACCCTTACAGCTTCAATAGCTTTGCAAACATGCTCTACATAGACCAACCTATCGGCACAGGCTTCTCCTATGGCACCGACACCGTAACTTCAACCGTGACCGCTGCTCCCCAGGTCTGGACGCTTCTGCAGGCGTTCTATGCAGCTTTCCCACAGTACGAAAATCGTGACTTTGGCATATTTACAGAATCCTACGGTGGCCACTATGGTCCTGAATTCGCATCCTATTTTGAATCCCAGAACAAGGCTATTGATTCCGGGTCAGTTTCGGGGATAAAGATCCCTCTTGTGGCACTCGGTATCAATAATGGCTGGTACGACCCTACCATCCAGTATAAAGCCTATGTGGACTACAGCTTTAGCAACCCATACAAATCCCTCATTTCGTCTTCACAACACACTAGCTATATCAACACATATAACAGCAGATGTGTTCCAGCGTTGCAACAATGTACTTCCACCACAGGATCCAATTCCGCTTGCGTAAATGCGGACAATACCTGCTTTAATGCCATCGAAGGACCACTGAGCGAAGTAGGAAACTTCGATGTCTATGACATCAGGGCGCCCTCAAATGATCCCAATCCTCCAGAAACTTACGTCCGATATCTGCAAAGCTCAAGCGTTGTCGCTGCTATCGGTGCGAAATCAACATACTCTGAATGTCCTAGTGCTCCAGGTTCGAAGTTTAGCAGCACCGGCGACGGTACGAATTCCTCCATACTATACTTTCGTGTATCAACTACTAAATTATGACGTTAGATGCCCGTTCCCTTCTCCCAACACTCTCTCAAGTCGTTCAATCCGGTATCACAGTCCTCCTTTGGGCTGGTGATGCGGACTGGATCTGTAACTATGTCGGAGGCGAGGCTGTAGCCAACGCAGTCACTTACTCTGGTTCTTCGACCTTTAAATCTAAGGCCCAGACCAATTACACTGTAAACGGTGTTGCAGGTGGAACATTTAAGACGGTCGGAAACCTCAGTTGGCTCAGGGTGTTTGGTGCAGGACATGAGGTCCCGTTCTATCGTAAGTCAATCCGAATTGCATCCTCGGTTCTCTACGGCGTCGAATAACACACAATTAGAACCTGCATTGGCTCTCCAAGTTTTCAAGCAAACACTGCAAAAGCAGCCAATTTCATCAACATGAAGTATTTGAGACAGCGAGGCGGATAAAGGCTGTTACTTGGTAGTGCACAGCTTAATAGCATGCAAAGTCTTTCGTGATCCCTTATGATAGGCAAACTCTTATGACTCTTACGGCACAAAGCAATGTATATACGTTACGGCAAATGAAATGACGATGGTTATGCAGAGATTATTTTCATTAGAAAACATACATTACGATACTTTTACCAATAGATCCACAATAACGCTAGCGCTCTAATGCCAATCAACTTCTCCCAACTTTTAGCTAAATCATTTATGGGAGTTTATTCTTCACGCTCCTGAGCTCCTCTTTCTCTCTCCCTCATCATATCCTGCAAATCTACAGGCTTCAAATCCCAAGTGCCCAAACTAGCCAAAACGGCCAATCCCGCAATAATTGTACAGACTATCATCGTTTCCCTGAAAGAGTCTGAGAACGTTTTACTCACTGCTAGTAATTGTTCAACATTGAATGATGCAGAAGCAGTTTCGAGCGAAGACAGTTGAGATTCGGATACCAATCCAATAGAAATTAGGTTCTTATGTTCCATCTGACCGAGAATTGCTGTAGCTGCTGCTATACCAATGCTACCTCCAAGCACTCGAGATTGAGCTATGATACCTTGTGCGACGGCTAAAGATGTTAATGAAGCAAAGATAAGAAAGAACCGATGCGCTTACCATGATCTCGTGGCTCACTCCTTGTAGCTGCCAAGAAGGAAGCAGTGGACACTGTAAGACCAAATCCAAACCCAATAAAAACAAGGAATCCGTAGGTCTTTGGCTCAACATGGTGAGTATCTTTAAGGGTTGTAAGTAGCCCTGAGCCGATTACCAGCAGACAGGAGCCAACCACGAGGATCTCGAAGGATCTGTTCGTCTTGCCAAGTACCATTCCCCCAACCATACTGGCAACAGCTGTTGAACCGAGCATAGGAAGCAAACCGACACCAGCAGTAAGGGGACTCTTTCCGTTGACCACTTGAAAACGAAGCGGTAAGTTATAGATGACGACGAAGTAGACAAAGCCTGTAAGCGCAGTACCTAAGGCTGCTGATGTGTAAACTCTTGAACTCAGAAGTCTGCCAGGGAGAATAGGGGTGATCGACCCGAATCCCCTATTTGAAACCACAAATTCCCAAACGGAAAACAGAACACAGCAGACACAGCCAGCAGCGAGTGGGCCAATGAAAAGCCCCTTTCCCCAGGCATTGGCAATAATGCCAGCTTCTTGGAAAGAAAGTACCACAAGAACTGAAGCTGCAGTAAGAAGCACTCCGCCTATAATATCCAACTCTCGAATCGGTCTGCGTTTGAGGATTGGTAGTTGTTCCTCACTTGGCCATGCTATGAAAAGTAGCACTAGGGCTAACAAGCTAACAGGGGCACTACAATATATCAGCATATCATTCATGGTATAGGTGAACAATTGTAGGTGTACTTTATCCAAAACAGCCATTTCCATGTGGTATATCTTATAATGATACCACCTAAGACAGGACCGAGCACACCAGACATGGCAACAACAGCGCCGATGATGCTCCCTATGAAAATCTGCATCTTCTTAGTAGATATCTCTGGAAGGATGATAACAGTGACAGAATAGAGCCCTGCACCGCCGATTCCCTGTAGAGCTCTACATGCTACAAGTGATGCCAGGTCATTAGAGAATCCACAACCTAGTGAGAAGGCAAGGAAAATCACGAAGGCGGCAGCGTAGGTATACTTCCGTCCAGCAATATCAGCTATGCGTGCAAAGATGATAGCACAGCCCACATAAGACAGAGTATAGGACAGAGCAATCCAAGTTATCGAATTTAGAGCATTAAGATCAGTCCCGATGGTGAAGATGGCGGTTGCTACAATCGAGGTGTCGAGGAAGGAAAGAAATAAGCCTAAGCAGAGACTATAGTTAGACATGAATGATCAGCATCTCATCCTATTATACTGAAGGGTTCCCAACCTTATACAGAGTGTCGCAAACTGCCAGGTCGGGATTCCAGGCTCAGTACGCCTCGCCTGAAACTCTTCATCTCCCAGGCTCGGAATTTCATCATGTGCTTTTGGTCTCCCCTTCTCAATAGCGTCTAGATCATGGGTTGCGGGATTATCTAAGGTTTTCGGCCCCAAATCCCCTGTGGGTCGTATATCAGATGAGGGATCACCTAGAGGGTTTACCTCTAAGCTCTCCATCTAGATAGAAACAGCTTAAATAATCACGAAAAGGAACACTTTCACAATGAACAGATTTTGAGAGGAATATGATATACAGGACAAATGTAAAAGATACATATATACATAGAATCTAGGTCGTTCTTGAGATAATTTGCAACTGAGTCTTAGGCCCTAGTTTCTCGTTCGTTATAGCCATTAACAGTTAGTTCCAATAATGCAAGTCATTGCGGAGCTAATGATAATTGGCTGTCAAGCTGTCAAAGTGGTCTGTAGTGGATCATGAGGTCCAACAGCAAATATTTCCATACGAGTCGGCCTAATTTTGAGGACTTGATATCTCCATAATGGAAGGCTTCTAAGATCGGGAGAAGGTTGAAGTGTAGAAACTTGCACCTTACGTCCGTAACGTTTTAGGGCTTGCTCGGAATGTTACTGAGCGTACTGGTTGCCAATTCTATGGGCCAACTTCGGCTCGTCTAATACGCGAGATAATTACGCTGGTTACGGTATGGTTTAAGGTGCACGTGACGTCTAAGACATGACCCCACCAGGTCCACCGCTGCAAATGATTGGAGGTGAAAAGTAATTCGTGCTTGGAATGCATATAATATTGAATAGCAACCACAGAGTCCCCAATCAGAAGTCTTCGTGGCTCAGTCGGTTAGAGCGTTGGTCTCATATTTCCATATGATTAAGCAGTAACACCGCTTGGCCATCCAAAGGTCGCGAGTTCGAATCTCGCCGAGGACATTGATTTAATTTTTTTATATTTTTTTGGATTGGATAAATCATTGTTATTAATTCCTCATTCTCCAAAAGATGGCTATTTTTACAGAATTCAATTTCCTTGTCCAATTAACCACTCAAGATGAGCACCAAAAAAAAGGTACCAATGATAAAGAGCAGGGGTGGGGTTTTGCGTGCAAGAGAAAGCCCCGTTTCCCCTCAGAATCAACACACTCCGTACTTATTCTAGAATTAAGATCTAATATTTTAGCCGCACGACAGTGAATTGAAATATCTTACAGAATAGTTAGTGTCGCTGGCTCAAAATTGCACAACTCAACTTCTTAGGTGTCCTTATCAACACGTAAAAACAAGGAAGATTTCGCATAAATTGGAGATACAACTTGCGTCACGTGTTCTGATCACCCAATGAGAACAAGGGAGATGCCGGCATATAATATGCGACGCAGACATGTAATTAGTGCACCTTCCTCTTTTACTCCAACACAAGCATTGTACAGCGTGTGGAGTCTCGATGTTGCGATCCTGATCAGTCCATTGAGTATCTGGGACTGCTGAGGCAATTACTCCAGCTTCTGAGACACTCCATTACTCAGATAGCAATCGCAAGGTGTTACCGTCGCATCCGGTCTTTACTTGATATACTTGGATACTCGGCGCGTCTGAGTTTCAGGACTCAGCCGTATCCCCGATTCCGAAAAGATGGCTGTCAGAAGCCACATCACTTCAGCAATTGCTGCGGTACTGCTGCTTGGCGTGAGGAAAACAGCTGCTCATGGCCAGCACACAGCAACTATCCCGGACGGCCAGTATATGAGCGAAGATCCTATAGTACGTTCAGGACCTGGAATTCGAGAGAAGAATATCAATGTGTTAACCTAATTCTAGGACTCGATATTATGGGTCCACATACTGTTGATGATGCTATCGTTTGGCATCATATTCCCCACTGGCATGGTTCTTGGCGTAAGTGCAAACACTAAATGCATACTTTATGCTGTGAATGCTTTCTGACTGATGCTGTTAGATGGTTCGGAACCGATGGCATGTCCCAGTTCAAGTTCTCGGAACCGTGATTTCAGTACCTGCATACTTCTTGGGACATCGGCATAAGGGACGGGCATTTCGACATAATATTCACGGATCATTCGCCAATGTTTTGATGCTTACGTTGGTTGTGCAAGTGGTCTTCGGTATCTATTTGAAATTTCATATCACAAAAGGTTTCCATGGGAAGATCAGGAAGGTTGCCGTTGTTGGACATGGTATTGTAGGCAAGCTCATGCCTATTATTGCTTGGATCCAGATTCTTTTTGGAGCCATCACGGCCCTCGGTTTCTGTCATGATGATCACCTGGGTCAATGTCTTGCTCACTTCATCATGGGCAGTGCTTTCATTGCATATGGCATTCTCCTCACTATCGTTTTGCTTGTCGGACAAGTCTGGCTTAGGCGGACTGGAAGATCGCAAGAATTCTTCGACTCGGCTGTTATTGCTGCATGGGGATGTGTTAACACGTTCACCGAGCATAGATGGGGAGGACCATGGGTTGCAAATGATATTCAGCATACCACCATGGGAGTCGTCTGGTGGGCTGCTGGTCTTGCTGGCGTTTGGCTGAGCAGGAAAAGGGATGGATCTCCAAAGAGGAACTTCATCCCTGCTGCTGTCCTTATCTTGACTGGATGGGCTATGGGCGGGCATCCACAGAGCTTGATGATAAGCGCTAAGGTACACACCATATTCGGATATACCCTTATGGCTGCTGGAGTTACTAGAATCATTGAAATCGCATTCGTCCTGAAGGATGAGGGTACCCTTAGCGATGAGGGAGACGCAAACAGCTTCCAATACATTCCACCATTTGTAAGTTTCAATTGTTGTTCCTATGCTATTATAATTTTCTGATGATATTTAGTTATTATATGCTGCTGGATTCCTCTTCATGGGGGCAACAGAACAACAAATGCAATTACTGGCCGATGCAGACATCTCTCACGTAGCCTACATCCTCATCATCTACAGCTTTGCATTCCTCATGTTCCTTCTTACCAACATGCTTATCCACCTTTATGCCGTGAACACCGCACCTCCAGTGCCAGCGAAGGATGTTGAGAGATCTTCGAGACTGCCCCGTGCGAATGGTCACACTCGAGGCACAGACTCCGGTCAGATTAGGGATGCAGAAGAGTTTGAGTTGGCAGGTTTGATGAGCGATGAAGAGTCACCAGAGAGTCCTAGCACATTAGGAAGGAACAACCAGACTCGCGTTGAATAAAGTTGTGATGGTTTCTCATCTATTAATTTCTAGATGTTCTATAGGGTATATTGCTGCATGGACCGGAGTTAAATGTTACAGGTAGTGTACATAGGGTAATCCTCGACCAAATGCGACTAATGAATATATCTCCTCATCTATGCCAATCCCTCTGCTGTGAGGTGGGAAACCAACCTTGAAATAACGCCGTAGATGCAAAAAGTTCGAGCCAATTCCCAATTAGCCCATCGCCAACTTCCTCAACTCCCCTTCTACCCTCCCTGCAGAGGCCACAATTGCGTCCCTTTCTTGCCCAGTCATCTTCCGAAGCACATAATCAGCAACAACGTTTGGATCCCGACTAACAGGCCTCCCAATACCTATCCCAATCCTTGTGTAATCCACCCCAGGCATCGCATCTCTTATGCTCTTCAGCCCATTATGTCCCTTGGGACTCAACTTCCCGCTCTTAACCTTCACCAGCCCCAGCCCTAGTTCCAGCTCATCATGCAGAACAACCAGCTTTCCAACCTCTCCATTCCGTTGTGCATCTTTCAAGAATTGCTTCCATGCGCTCGAGACCGCCGGTCCAGAAGCATTCATTAGAGAAGGAGACTGCCATAATGTGAAGTCTGGACCAGCTGAGACGAGACCATTGCCATGCGCTCGGGATTTCTGCAGAGGTGGGAAGGAGAGGCTCCGTGATAGCTCGGTCAGGACTGTGTGGCCTGCACTGTGAAGGGTGTTGAGGTATGGTGAGGGGTTGCCGATTGAGCAGACGAGGAGACGGAGGGGGACTGCCATTGAGAGAATAATGGAAGGTGGTATTGGAGGGGAGTGTGCTATAAGAGCGGCATTGTTGCTGTTCTGCTGATTGTCTTGCGCAGCGTATGAAGATCTTCGAGGTATGGATTTTTTGGTGGTGGTTTTTGGAGATGGGGCAGGATTCGGCGATTCTTTTTTGCGACGGTGCTGCGTCATTGAGATCGTTTTTTCGAAACAATGACTTTTCTTTTTCAAATCTGATCCGGAAATTCTTTGATCAGTGAGTATACAGTAATATGATTGTGATGATTTAATATTATCTTGTACATTTTAATCTTTCATTTCTCTCTGCTTAATAACCAACAGGCGTTACCCTATTTGTCATAATCGAGGCTTTCCATAAGAGTCATACCGGAAGAACTATGGGTGGCGGAGTCAGTTGTTGGATCAGATGTGTCAATTCCAACAATACCAACAAGGAAGGCCTATTAACTATAGTCCAGGATAATTGTATGAAGGAGGTGAAGTAGTCATTCAGGTCGAATAATAATTGCGCAAGAGAATGAACCAGAAAAGCCAGCTTAAATTCATATACCAGACGCCATCGCCCTATCTACACATTACACTTCATTAAACCCTTCATCAAACCGTTCCACTAATGCTTAACTCCCTAATCTCCTGCAGCACCTCCTCAACCCTACTATCAAGGTGACCTTGTGCATATTGATCCCTAGTGTCAGGGTCCAGATATTGCTGGACTTGGGCCATTCTAGAATACGCCTCCGCGCAGAACCGTAACTGGATCTTGACGAGGGCTTCGAAACTTGGGTCGAGATAAGGCACACGGAGGTCAATAAGCTGAGGAAGCTCAGTGAAGAGTTGCTCATTAAGCTGTTCATAGGCTGATTTAGCCATTTCCATTTCCTTCTCGGCGCGAGGAAGTTTCGTAACATCCTTGTCGGGTTTCTCAACTAGCCTCTTCACTTTCGCTCGTAGGGCATCGTAATCTAACAGTTTATTATTGCGTTTTTTGATACCTGTAGGTATGACATTAGTCAAGTGCCAATCTCTCACATAGTAGGAACCTCCATACACTCATTTATATCCGGGAAGTACGCGCAGAATCGGGTGATAGGATCGAGGACAGTTGTTCTGCGAACGAATAAGTGCACTGTTCTTTTGTGAAAGATCCAATTTACGAGCTTACCGATATGGTCCGTCAAGAGCCTTGATCGTCTCCGCATCCAGATCTTCAACTGCCTGTTTGTAACTTCTACTAACCCCGTCCCTCGCGCCAGCATCGCCATAAAATGCATCAATTGTTTCGGCAATCCGCATCTGCGAGGCAGTCATGGCTGTCCCATCTATCAGTAAGCTTTGCTGCCAACCTGATTATCAACACGCACCTCGCAACGAATCCAAATAGCCTTTTGCTTCCTTCTGCAGCCGGTTGGCAGCGGCTTCCATAGTTCGGTAACGTCTAGTGAGGCTCGTCAGATGGTGATTCAAGCTGAGGACTACCACGTCTCTACCTTTCTTCGATCTCGTAATCTCGATCATTGGTCTTCTCCACATGGCCTACGGAAACCATTAATACTTCGCAGCACCACTATAGAAGAATGTCCTCATACCAGTCTTCATCATAACCTGCGTCGTCGCACGGCCGACGCCCTTCTTGAAACCTACATTCTACGGTCAGCCAGATGCGGCATGTCTCATGTTCTGGATATTATAGCAACATACCTGCCCACGACATCCTGACAGATTGTCACAAGACAGGAGCAAACTAATCCGAAGTATGGAGATAATATGAAAGGCGCAGAGGCAGAGTCTGGGTGAATTGCAGAGAGACGCTGCTTATTTCCCAGGTTTCGCGGACTGGACGGCGGTTTGGGAAGGAAGTACAAGGTACATACCGTACTGACGACAACGTCTGTGGCTGTGCGGTAGCCTTAAATCATGTGATCTCAGCAGTTAAAC